CCTCCTCCTTCTCTCTCCTGTATCCTTTCTTGCCATGTCATCTCTGCACAAGCCACCCCCTCTTCACCTTTTACCATGAAAGGAAGCAGCCTGAGGCCCTCACCAATATTGAGTGTTCCAGCCAGCAGAATCCTGACCCAAATAAAACTATTTTAACATAAATTACCCAGTCTTGGGTATTCCTATATAGAACACAAAACAGACCGAGAAGTTCTATAATAAAACAGAAATGATTTATATGAGGGCATGGCACCGAGGAAATGCTAGCAGGTATCCACAGTGTCCTTTAGCAGGTAGCCTCTTTTTTCTTGTATGGCCATTGTAACCACCTGAACAGCTGCCCAAACCTACTGCCATGTAGCAGTGCCCTGGGAACAGATCTCAGCTCACCAACAAAGAATGACTTGGTTTATGGGTGGCAGTTCTAAGATTAAACAGAACCCTGTTAAGAAAGCTGCCACATTAAGACCTGTGCATGGAAAGTCTGATTGAAGAAGGTAAGGAGTCACCTCAATGGGCTGAATGGCATGCTGTTTCCCTAGCAGTGGTGAAAGAATTGGATGATAGTAAAAGGATTTCTAGTCTCAGGCAGTAGCCAATTGCCTAGACATATGGCCATATGGCCATAAAAATGCACAAGAGAATTTAACTTTTTTTTTTTTTTTTTGAGTTGGAGTCTCACTCTGTCACCCAGGCTGGAGGGCAGTGGCATGTTTCCAGCCACTGTAGCCTCAAGCTGCTGGGCTCAGCGATCCTTCTGCCTCAGCCTTCCAAGTAACTGGAACTACAGGCACACACCACCATGCCCAGCTAATTTTTTGATTTATTGTAGAGACAAGGTCTTGCCCAAGTTGCCTGGGCTGGTCTCAAACCCATGGGCTCAGGCAATCCTCTCACTTCGGTCTCCCAAAGTGCTGGGGTTATAGGCATGAGCCACCATGTCCAGTAGAGAATTGAACTCTTAATAGGAATACTCTTGTGAGATGCTGCCCTATGGAAATCTCTCTAGAAATGTAAGTGGTGCATTAAAGTAGGATGTGTCAATGCCCTTACAACATGTAAAAGTGACTGGAAACAACAGAACCTTTTGGTGTGCTTCCATGAATAGGTACCTGGGAATCATAAAATAAGTGGACTTGTGGAGGCTACAGCAATGCAGGAATGGGCTGAATCTAGTCCTATTCCTCTTGTACTCTCTAAGGCACACAACACCAACAAGATTTGTGGTTTCTACCAACAAGGAAAACAGAGACCTGTACATTGAAATGGGGAAGAGTCTTAGGATGAACTCCCCACATACATGGATGACAAGTGGGTTACACAGGACCAATGTTGGTAGCCCTGGGGTAGGAAGACTATAAATGTGTCTCAAAGGGAAGATACTCCAGACTGAACTTTGCACACTCCATGGTAGATACAAACACTCTAAATACCATGAAAGAATCAGAAGAGAAGATACTGTGACAACTAGGACTTCAAATTTACATTTATTCAGACCTAGTCAATGCCCTTTAGAGCCACAGTATTCAGTGGTGGGAAAGATATCACAGGAACATATGATGTTGCACATCATCCTCAGAGTAATGGTTTCATAGATAATAGAAACAGACCATTGAAACATTCTCCTGTGTAAACTAGAGAGATCAAGACACGCCTATGTAACTGTGTGCTCATACAACATGGCAGGAACTGAGAGAGAGTCCCCAATACATAGATTACTTTGCTTTTCTAGAGGACTTGGAGGAGAAGGGTGGTGATTCCTAAGCAAGAAACTTTCCCTTTAATCCTTCATGTCAGAATTCCTCAGAAGCTGATACAGTAGATTGTGCCTTCTCCCCAGAGTTGACAGTGAATGCTCCTGAGTTGCTTAGGAGTTGGGATAGATCACTAGTTCTATACCTGTGTGACCCTATCCTATGAGGAGGGAGACACACTTGCCAACAAGTTGCTGCCAGCAATCAAGACTAGTTTCTAAGGTCCCTTCCAAATGAAGAAAATATGGGTAAAAATAAATGACAAATGAAGACAAAAATTATAGCTGAGGGTAAAGAAATAACAATATGTTATACAATGAGGAAATCCAACACTGTCTTTATATCTTGAGAGGCTTAGAACAAGAGAATAATATTATCTCTTAGCATCATTATATCCAATGCCCATAAGGGTGAAACTGTATGTATGTCAATACCAGCCGTGGTTTTGGAAGCCAACAAGGTTAAATGGCAGACACTCCAAGTGGTATCACTCCAGAGACTCCACTGTCAAACGATATGATGATGAACTAGATCAACTGTTAATGACTAAATGGCATGCTAGTAATATTAAGACTGTTTTCAATTCATATTTTCCAAACAAATATCATATTTACTACATAGTATACCATTTGGGAAGGAATTTTTGAGAACTTACACCAGGACTTCAATCAAGTGGTATATGGCTCCCAAGAGACCGACCACAGTTTAGCTGTAAGCCTTGATAATAAGATGTTTAGAAAGGTCTCTGGTGACCATGGACAAAATATAATGGCACAATGTCCAATACACTACACGTGGCACACACAACTAATTATTAGCTTTGTTTTTGTGGATGGAAAGTAATTAAGCAAAAAGAAAAAATAACCAATGTATCCGTGATGGAATTAAAGCTGGGGTATCATGTATTGGATCCCTGGGAATCAGCTTCAATCTGAGATGAGAAGCCTTGGCAAGTCTTATGGCACAGGTAAAGGGAACTGCACATAGGTATGATTACTACTCATTGAAGCTTATATGGGGGACTCAAAAAATTTGGGTGTAAAACTGTATCCCAACTGCACCTATCTCATAATTGTACAATAGGAACAAACAACACTGGTCCATAAAACAGAAATGGGCCTTAAGGAGTTAGAAGCTGGCCCAGGTATCCTGGGGAAAGCTGGGTTTGCTTTTTATGAAGAGTGGCATTGAGAGGAAATATAGGGAATTCTCTTCCAAGAGGGATGCAAAGGATGGATGTCAGTCTGGAAAGATAAAGCTTTAGCAAAGTGGATCAGGCAGATGCAACAAATAATGCTGGACACTGTTAATTTCCCACACTGGGAAAGTCCCTGTGTTCTGATCTAACAGGGCCTCACAAATGTTTACTACCCATGGAGGCTGAGATGGCATGGGACAATGTCCTGCTCCTCTAGTGGCTTAGACTCAAGGGGCACACTAATGGGAGTTATGGCCCTCAAACATGTAGATGCTCTCTCGGGACACCTGTAATTTACATAGATGTAGTGTAACTGCTCTCACACCTTTAACAGGTGGCGGTTATATATATACTCCACAATACAGTCAGTGGGGATAGAACCTTTTGCAAATACCACTGTGTCCTCCTAGAGACACAAACTGGGCCACGATATAATCCTATCAATGATAATCCCAGTACAGCCCTGTGAAATGAAATGGGGTGACTGGATTTGCTTGCAATCAAGTCAGAATCCAGACATCATTGTGTCATGGCCAATGGAAATGATGTCTGCTCTTTTTTTTTGAGTCCAACTCTTACTCTGTTGCCCAGGCTGGAGTGCAGTGGCATGCTCACGGCCACCGCAGCCTTGACCTGCTGGGCTCAGGCGATCCTTCCACCTCAGCCTTCCAAGTAGCTGGAACTACAGGTGCATGTCGCCACACCCAGCTAAGTTTTTGACTGTAGAGATGAGATCTCGCCAAGTTGCCCAGGCTGGTCTTGAACCCATGGGCTCAGGCAATCCTCTCACCTAGCCTCCCAGAGTGCTAGGATTATAGGTGTGAGCCACCATGCCTGGCCGATGTCTGCTCTTAACGCTAGCTGGTATGTGGGCATGTGCAGACTCTGTTGGGAAGGAAAAGCAAATAACTCTGCAGTTCTTACTGATTTGTTCTGTAATGAAACTGAATTATACCATGATCACACTGCAAACGATGTTATACTAATGTTGTTGGTTGGATTCAACTCTTCAATGTAAAAAAAACCTCATTTTTATTTATTTATTATTTATCTGTTGTAGAGACATGGTTTCACTATATTGACCAGGCTAGTCTTGAACTCCTAGCCTCAAGAGATCCTCTTGCCCCATGCTTCCAAAGACTGCTATTACAGGCATAAGTCACAGCACCTAGCCACGTCCTATAGTATTACTGGTATTGATGATCCAGTGTGTTGGGAGGTTGAGTTAGAACTTCCTCAGGATGAAATACCCAGGGAAATGACTGATCTGTGGAAGAACTTTACCTAGCTCACTGTCAGCTCATTTCTTTGCTAAAAATACAAAGGGGAATGTTATTCAACTATAAAAAAAAATAAAATCTTGTCAGTCATGGCAATATGGATGGAACTGGAAGACACTATCCTAAGTGAGATAAGCCAGGAACAGAAAGTTAAACATCGCATGTTCTCATTCATATGCGGAAGCTAAAAAAAAAAAAAAAAAGTTGGTCTTGTAGAAGCAGAAAGTATAATAGTGAATACTAGAGCCTGGGAAGGGTAGAGGGAAGGGAGGTATAGGGAAATTTGTTAAAGAATGCAAAAATCCAGCTAGATATGAGGAATAAGTTCTGATGTTCTATATCACTATAGGATGACTACAGTTAACAATATATAGTATATAGTTTCAAAAGGCTAGCAAGAGGATATTGAATATTCCCAACCCAAAAAATGACAACCATCTGAGATGCTGACTGTGCTAATTATCCTGATCTGGCCACCATATATGTATTAAAACATCATTATGTATGTCATGAATATGTAGAATTATTATCTGCTAATTTTAAAAAATAAAAGGTAAAAAGGAACCATTTGCTTTTTACATATACATGAGAAAGACAGTAATATGTACATGTATAAATTTATTAGGATAGAACAAAATTGGAAAAACATACACTAAGTATAAATCACAGTTATTAAAAAAAGAATATAGATAGACAGATATAGATATATATGAATTTTGCAGGGACATTCTTCAGTGCATAACAGCCCTTACCTGTGTTATCTAATCTTTATCCCTTATGAACATTCTGGTGTTTTAGGAGATTGGAGTTAAAGATAAAAGACTTCCCACATTCACTACACTCATAAGGCCTTTCCCCACTGTGAACTCTGGTGATTACTGAGGTTAGAGCTCTGGCTAAAGGATTTCCCACATTCACTACATTTGTAAGGCTGTTCCCCAGTATGAACTCTTTGGTGTTTAACAAGGCTAGAGCGGTTGCTAAAGGATTTCCGACACTCACCACATTCATACGGCCTTTCTCCTGTGTGACTTCTCCTATGTCTAATAAGGCTAGAACTCTGGCTAAAAAATTTCCCGCATTCATCGCACTCATAAGGCCTTTCTCCTGTGTGAACTCTCTGGTGTTGAAGGAGTGTAGAACTATGGGTAAATGATTTCCCACATTTCCCACACTCATAAGGCCTTGCTCCAGTATGAACTTTCCAATGTGCAATGAGGTAGGATTTGCAGGTAAAGGATTTTCTACATTCACTGCACTCATAAGGCCTTTCTCCAGTGTGAACTCTCTGATGTACAATGAGGCCAAATTTCCTGCAAAATAATTTTTCACATTCATCACACTCATGAAATCTTACTCCAGTGTGAACTCTCTGGTGTTGGAAGAGACGAGAGTTATAAAGAAATAATTTCCCACACTCATTACATGCATAACACCCTTCTCCAGTGTGAAGTTTCTCATGTTTAATGAGGTGAGAGCTCTGGCTAAAGGACTTCCCACATTCACTGCACCTATAAGGCTTTGCTACAGTATGAACTCTCTTATGTGTAATGAGGCTTGAACTATGGATAAAGGATTTCCCACATTCACTGCATGTGTAAGGCCTTGTTCCAGTATGAATTCACCAATGTATAACAAGGCTAGAGTTATGGCTAAAGGATTTCCCACATTCCCTGCACTCATAAGGCCTTTCACCAGTGTGAACTCTCTGATGTATAATCAGGTCATACGTCCTGCTAAATAATTTTCCACATTCATCACACTGATGAGATCTTACTCCAGTGTGAACTCTTTGGTGTGTAATAAGGCTAGAGCTTTGCCTATAGGATTTCCCACATTGCACACATTTATAAGGCTTTTCTGAAGTGTGAACTCTCAAATGATCACTGAGGCTAAAGCTTATGCTAAAGGATTTTCCACATTCACTGCACAAGTAACATCTTTCCCTACTAAAGACTTTCTGGTACTGAACAAATGCATATTTGTAACTGAAAGCTTTCATGCATTCTCCCCAGTTATAATGACACTTTACACTGTGAAAGGCCATAACACTCTTGGTTTTGTTGTTTGACTTCTTCCCAATGTGAGTAGCCTGTGGTTGGAGAAATTCTGAGCTGGCCAGGAAATCCTTCCCAACCTCTTTGCAAGTAAAGGGTTTCCCAGATACCTGGAATTTGCAGCTGTTCAGAAACAAGTCTCTGCCCATGTTGCTTCTGAAGCATTTTTGTCCAATGTGCTGCTTCTGGTGCTGATGTAGGTATGTAGTGAACTGTAATTGCTTCCTACATCCCCCATCTATGTATAGCTTCTGCCCGTGACATACTCTCTGGTACTCAACCAAGTGCAAAATGTCTCTCAACACTGGGCCACATATCTTACAGGGAATGGCCTTCTGAAGAAGAGGAATGGCCTTGAAAATCCTAACCTGTGACACTCCTTGTGGAGAAATGCTCTGCTGAGAAGGTGCCTCCTCATTCTCTGCTCCGCAACAACAACCTGAAAGGAAGAAAATGCCAGTGAAGAGCATGTTGACTTTAGTGGGAAGGGAAGCCCACTGAAGCACTTCACAAACCCAAGAACTAAGTCCATAGGATTGTTTTCAGGACTAGGGTGTTGGGCTGCCTAGCAGAACTGGTCTCCAAAGATCACAGGATGGAGAAGGCCTCATGAATTAAAAGACATAGCCAGGGGATGTGGCACAGTAGGAAAAGGCAGGATGTATAATCTAGAACAACTTTCAGCAAGATCTTTCCTCCCAATGACGTGTGTGCATTACACAGAAGTGTGTATCCAGGCCTAAGATAATGTGAAAACAAAAAAATCAGCTGATGTACATGAACTGTGTAAGAATCTGTGTACACCTCATGATATGTAGAGGCCAACACTAGAGAGCACTGCAGATAAAGCAGTAAGAAAAACAGATAGCCGGGCTCGGTAGCTCAGCCTGTAATCCCGCGCCTTTGAGAGGCTGAGGTGAGTGGATTGCCTGAGCCCACGGGTTCGAGACCCGCCTGGGCAGGCAAGACTTCATCTCTACAATAAATCAAAAAATTAGCCGGGCGTGGTAGCACGTGCCTATAATTCCGGCTACTTGGAAGGCTGAGGCAGAAGGATTGCTGGAGCCCAGGTCGAGGCTGCAGTAGCCAGGAGCGGCCAATGCACTCTAGTCTGGGCGACAGAGTGAGACTCCAACTCAAAAAAAAAAGAAAGAAAAACAGGTAAGACATCGAGTACAGAGATGTGGGCATTAGCCCTGGGCTGGAAGTAAAAATTACAAGGTGTAGAACTGACAAGCTGGCAAAGTATCAAGAATGGGAAAGAAAAGGCAGTAATGATATTTGGTCCCATATGTCATTAGCACCAAAATATTAGTAAAAAAAATAAGCTTTTGGTATAATTTGAACACAGCCCAAATATAGTTCTAAGCTGTGGACATGGCATAGAGGAAACCTCCCTGTATATATAATGCCCTACCACAAGTGTTATTCCTCAGGACAAGGCTTCCTGTGAGCCCATCTTGCTGTAGGGACTCATAGCCATGCTGGAAACCGAGGGCTGCCTGACCTCTAAGATGATAATCAATGACATGGAACCTGGAATATGCAAATACAACTAACTCAGAGTGATTCAGCACATGACAGCCCACAGGGAGTAAACAACTATTATAAAAAGAACTTCAAAGGAAAATTCTGCAAGAGCCACTTATAGTCCACATAAATAGTGACAATGTTAGTGACGACAATTCCCAGCGCAAGGAGGCATGAGGAAGTGTTAGCTAGAGAAAGGAAGCAGAACCTGGAACATACAGAAACCTCATGTCTGGAAAAAGTCACCTGGCCAGGGAAAGGCAAACAAGGGGAGACATATGAGACGACGGACTCTGAATTCTTCCAGATGATGTTGTAGGGAAATGGGTATTGGCTGCTCAAGGAGCAAAGCAAGCAACACATGGCCTTAGCCCTACCAACCACAGCACCTACCCAGGGACTGGGAAAGAATGATTCTGATGTTAAAAAGGAAAGACCTGCCCCTGGGGAAAGGGGAAGAGCAGAGACTACCTCATGGCACAGGGGTGAGTATGAAGACCTTACCCAGGGAGATTATAAGTGCCAGGTTCTCCTGCATCACATTGTGGTACAAGCATCTCTGAGCTTCCTCAAGGAGACCCCATTCCTCCCAGGAGAAGTACACAGCCACGTCCTCAAAGGTCATGATGCCCTGTCAGGATGAGGACAGATGAAACCACAAGCAGTTCTTCCTCCCAGGACCCACAATCCATTCCCCTACACATCTACCTCATGCTTGTTCTCTTCCCAAGCTCTCCAACCCAAAGAAGAAACCAGGCACCTGGTGCTGTTGTCTTCTCCTGGGCCTGCTGGTCACTGGCTACAGTCATTAGTAACAAGAGGCAGGTGGACAAATATATTTCTAAGCTGTGGATGTGGTATAGAGGGAAACACCCCTCCTGGCAAGCAACCAGGGACATGTAAGTCTCAATACCAGTGACCCAGGGCCATTAGACGTACTCTCTGAGTACATATCATTTAGACTGCACATGCCTCAGCTATCCAGATTCCCAATCAACATGACCATGGCCACTACCACCTCACTGCTTCATACCATAGGCAACTCCTGGCCTCCCCAGATGCTTCTTGGATGAAACAGTGGCTGAGCAACAGTTACGGTGATGGCTAAACATGGAACACCTGACACTGGAAAAATGAGATCAGCAGTAGTTTGTTAATATATAACCATAACCTGGGAGAGGACACCACACTACACACATGGCATATCAAGGTAGTACTCCATAAAAGAGTAAATAAGCAGGGGCTGTGGAATGTAGGTTTTGTAGTATCAAGAGGAAGAAGGTCCTCTGGTTCCCAAAGGAGAATAGGATTGGCTTGTTTGAATAACTGAAGATTGGAGGGAATTGAAACCTGTTACAAAGTGATATTCAGGAACTGTTCTGGTTCTCCTGAGTGGGTTCATTTGGCTAAGAGACCTTAGCAATGAGTGCAGAGTGGGCAGGAGAATTTACTCTCAGACTATTTGAGGCTGCACTGTTTTCATCAGATGTCAAGGCAGCATATCATATTGGGCCTTAATTTTTGGCCTTACACCATAACTTGGCAGACAGCATCCAGATTCAACAGAATCCAATACTATCCCAGACTTCCCATGGCTTCCACTAGAAGTGGTAGCATCTCAGAACCTTCTGTGAAGGTCTCCCTGTCAGGCTGCATTCCTCGCCCCCGGCCTTAGCCTCACAGAACCACGTGTGAATCATAGATGCCCATGGGCCTATTCCACTTCTGTGCTGCACTTACTGTCTCCTCAGCAGTCACAACCTTCTCTGTCCACCTACCTCTCATTCAAAGCCCAGTCTCACTGGTCGCCCACCCCTCCCAAATGGCCACATTTGACACTGACCTGATTCTCCAGCCTGAAACACCCAGGCCCCATCGAAGCCATCACAAAATCCTGGCTATCGATAGAGTAATGAATAAGCACCAGCTCTGGCCCGAGTGTCATCTTGCCTCAATAACTCCTAGCCTCTGCATCCATCTCATGTACATTCCTCTCTTGGGAACCCTGGCCATCTTCCACACTACTCTTTTTTGTTTAATGACCACTTCATCATCTGCGTTTGCAACAGCCAATATCATCACTCAGGTGCTCAACCAAGAGAACTAGTCCAAGGTCCTTGCCTTCCCCTGTGTGGTCTACTAATGGCTTTAAAATCAAAACCTGGAGATTCCCCCACCTAAATATGACCCATTCACCTTGGTCCACACAATAGCCACAATATTTTAAGTATCTGTATCCTGAACCACTCCCCAGACTTTGAGACCTGTGTGTTCATCTGCCCACTTAACACCTCTATTTAGTTAAGCTCTGAAAAATCTGACTCTTAACATGGCCAAAGCTGGGCTCGGTGGCTCAGCCTGTAATCCCGCACCTTTGGGAGGCTGAGGTGAGTGGACTGCCTGAGCCCATGGGTTCGAGACCTGCCTGGGCAACTTGGCGAGACCTCATCTCTACAATAAATCAAAAACTTAGCCTGGCGTGGTAGCGCGCGCCTGTAGTTCCAGCTACTTGGAAGGCTGAGGCGGAAGGATAGCCACTGCACTCCAGTCTGGGTGACAGAGTGAGACTCCAACTCAAAAACAAACAAAAAGAAATGGCCAAAACAAACTTCCTGATATCCCCAGTTAATATTACTACAATCCATTTATTCATCTCAGTTATCCCTACAGTTGCTAATACTAAAAACCCTGGAGTCATATCTGAATTCTCGGTTTCACTCCCTCACCATCTGCATTACATTATCTAGTTGCCCCTTTTGAAAACACACATCCATAATCCAACCATATCTCTTAAACCACAATTCCAATCCTGGTCCATTAACACCTGGACTGTGTAGTAGCTTCCATCCTGATTTTCCTTTCTCCTTCCTCAACCCCAGTCTGTTCTCTACTGTCTAGACAGATGGGGTCTGTAAAGACCTTGATAAATCACGTCCTTACTCTGACCCAAACTTCCTATTATCTCCAGAAAAGACGACTATCTTCTTAGGCAGTGGCTGCAGTCCTGACTTTTTTTTTTTTAGTTGGAGTCTCACTCTATCACCCAGACTGGAGTGCAGTGGCACGCTCCCGGCCACCGCAGCCTCAACCTGCTGGGCTCTGGCGATCCTTCTGCCTCACCCTTCCAAGTATCTGGAACTA